AATTTATTCACTACTACCTATGGTGATAAAATAGGCATTTTGGTGTATTTAAGTCAAATAATCTCTGTATTCGAGAGCAACATTTTTAGCTCTTTCTCTGTGTCCTACATGAGATTAGCACCAAAGAATCTAGGTTTGGGATCTTCTTCGGTACTCAAATTTATCGCTTTGAGTTCATCCATAGTATCCTGACCACCTTCTACAAACTCTTTCAAACTCTTTTGGAGCTTATTTTAGATATAGAATTAGATCTTATGTTTGCTTTTTGGATTCCGATGATCCCTTCTCCTTTTCTATATAATGTCATAAGAGGTTACATATATATGATATGGATTTCAGTGGTACTCAAGATAACAATAGGATGCAGCTCATGTAAGACATAAATGTCGAGCATATCACAGATCCCATATTGTATACAAATCATAACATATGGGCTTCTGTGTATGCTTATTATGCCTGAGCTTTTGGAAATGACACCCTTGCTTACTTGTTTGCATGAAGAACATTTTTCTTTTCATAAGCTTTCTCATAATGGGTGGATGATATTTAGGAATGATTTTCAGCAAATCTTTATATTCCCAATCATTTTAACATTTTATTTCATGTGTAGTGTGATGCAGTATCACTCTTGATTCATAGAAAATAGATCTACATTTCTTGAGACCTCTTTGAGGGGGAAATAGAAAGTTTTTAATATTTTATGTTGGTATTTCATGAGGTAATCAATTTTTTGGATTGCTCCATCGACATGGATACTACTATATGATTTCTATAGATGTCTTATTTTCAGATATTTTATGTTTGTGCATGCTCATTAGGCCAGAGCTTTCTGAAATATCAGGCTTGCTTGTTTGTTTGTAGAAGAAGATTTTTCTTTTCATAAGCTTTCTCATAATGGGTGGAGGATATTTATGAATGAATATCAATATATCTCTGTATGCCCAATCAACTTAGCATTTTATTTCATGAGTAGTGTGATGTCGGATCACTTTTGATTAATAAAAAATAGACCTGTTTTAATTGAGACCTCTTATGGGGGTCACATAAAAAGTTTCTAATATTTTTATGTTTGTATTTGATGAGGTATTTAAATTTTTAGAATGCGCCGCCATCATGGGTACTATTTTGATGATATCCATAGATATCAAATTTTCTGATGCCTTTATCATTGAAATTGATAATTTCTTTAAATTCATAAATATGGAACTAGGTATTGGGTCATCTTCCTCTTATAATTATGTAGTACCCTTAGGTTGATAAAGAAGTTCTTCTTCTTCATCAATGCTCGATTACCTTAAACAACATACCTTGTTTGCATAATTAGCTTCGTAGTTAAAAGGGATGGCTGATAGTTCACTCCTTTTTCCCTATGATTAATGGTCTAAATGATTGGGAGATATCATCATCCTCTTTAGTATCACTATTGATAGGAGGCACATAACAAATTTTCTTCAATTTATTCTTTCCTTTATTTTTCTTCTTTCCTTGATCCAACATAGTGGCTTGAATTCTTGAAATCTCATCGCCCTTTTTGCTTTTACGCTATAAAGTATTTGGCATCTTCATAGATCTTAACTTTGTGCACGAAGAATGATTTTTTATCATCATAAATGCAATGTTCTTCATTATCTCAATTTTATCTCATACATATTTGATGTGTTTAGGGCACTACACCATGCTTGTGAACCAATGGCCTTCCAAGAAATGCCTTCTATGATTTTTTGGGATGAATTTTGTGAAATGTCACCTCTGTATTGAGTTCACCAAAGTTTAAAGGCAATACCAAGGATCCCATTGGTTCTTTGCCCTTATTCATCAAATCCTTGCAGAAACAACCTCCTTCAGTTAAGATATTAGACGTCCAAAGCTAATCCTCTGATTGTTTTTAGGCTTATTAGATTTACAGAGGAACCCAAGTCTTTAAAAATTATATTTATTTTGACATTATTGCTGTCTGTAATAACATATAGTGACTTATTATGATATGTACTTCCCAAAATTATATCACTATCATGTAAAGTGATTGTAGTAGTATTTTGCATATACAAAGCTTTTTTCATGCTTTGCTCGACAAAGGACTCCTCATACTATTTTGGGTTCTCAAAGCCTTGGTGAGTGTTTCTCAAAGGTTGATAGACATAATAAGTGTGTTAGAGATGCTCGACAGTGTATGTATTTTATAATTATAGTTTTATCCCTTGTTAATTTTTTGTTTTCACTTTATAAGATTTTGATCCATGCTTTTCCTTATCCATTTAAGTGATCTTTTAGTGTTACATCTAATTTTTTTTTTTTGGATTTATTATATGCCATAGGGGAATGAAAATTGACCCCTCTAAAATTTAAGCAATCATAGAAATGACACCTCTAAAAACTTTAAAATGATTTTGCTCAATCCAAGGTAGATTGACATAAATTCAAATTTTTATATCTAACATTTCAAATAGATGTCAACCATTTGCTCATCTAATGAAGCAAAATATACCTTTTATATGGGATGATGCTTGTCTAGAAACATTTGATAGCCTAAAATAATATTTGCTACATCTTCTAATCATTGTTTCCCCTAATTCGAGCTAATTGCTAGCACAAATAAACAGGATTGAAAAGAAAATTCCTTTTATTATATTTCCTAATGATTAATAGGTGCAAAATCAAAATACTCACCAATTGAGACACAATGCTTAGCATTAATTTTTGCCACTAAAAAACTCTAGCATTATATCTTATCCCATAAAATTACTTTAATATCTAAAATGTGGATCTTTTAAAATATTTAATTACTAGACCCACTCTAACTAGTTGTCTACTTAAGTGGGTTGTCTTGTTGATTCAATTTGACATAATATATATGCCACAAAAGGTGGTGAAGGGATATACTCTAGCTAATTTTTTAGCATCCCATCCTTTACCTATAGATTCTCCACTTAATGATGAGTTTTTGGACAAGTGAACAATCAAAGTGGAAAAAAAAAAAAAGATTGGGAGCTTTATTTTGACAGATTTTTTTCAATAAAATCAATCATGCTACCTAAATTTTTGATAATTCATGTGAGCATTGGCCTTATATTTATTATGTAGTAAAAAGGATACTTTGATATTCCAATGGCTTAATAGATACTCATACTAATAGTGAAGTTGAGTATGAAGCCTTAATTGTGGGTCCATAGATGAGAATTAACATAAAAATCCAAAAACTTCATATATATATATATGTGGTGATTCTCAACACCTAATCAAACAAATAACATGCATTTTAAAAATCAACAAGCTTAAATTAATCTCATATCAAGAGTATGCTTTGAAACTCCTACAACAAATTCCTGAAGTAACTCTAATAAGAATTACATGCAGTGAAAATGGCAAAGCCAACACAATGCCAAAGTTAGTCAAATAATTAGCAAATCTTCAAAAGGATCAAATTCTCCAAACAATTAAAAATAGACATGTGTCAACTCCAGATGTTATGCAAGATGATGGAGATAAAGACAAGCAAGAAAGCATAGTTATATCTAATGAAAACGATTAGAGATATCCCTTTATCAGATACTTCAAGGGAAATTGTCTAAAATTAATCTATGACTTTGTAAATATCATGAAGAGAATTAAGATCTACTTTTGTGAATGATACATTATATCGTTTATCATTTAATCCTATGTGGCTAAAATGTTTCGGTCCGGAGGAATGCCAAAAAGTCATAAGTGAAGTCAATGAAGGATTATGTAGTGCACACTAATCTATTTTTATGTGAAACGATTGCATTAATTAAAATATATTTTTATTAGATAAAAATTAAAGTGCGCTCATTAGTGCGTCTTACAATCTAACTGTATAATAAGACTGCCCAAATGGGTCAGATTTAATTTTAGAAAAAAATTTCTCAAGTAATAGGTCTTACAAATTTTTTAGAAGATGTCTAAAAGTTTAAATTAGAGGGGGCCTTATGGCTCTACTTGTGAGTTTTCGGAAGATGGGTCTTATAAAATCACTAGGGCTCCCCGAGAATTTAATTATTTGTTTATGTCTTACAGCTTTCCTTTGGAAGTTTCTTAAAAGTGGATCTTACATCCCAATCCTTTAGATTAAGAAGCAAGTTAACTTGAATTTGGTTTCTTGGGGGTTTGAAATTTTATTATTAGTTTCCTAAATAATAGATCTTATGACTCTTATTAGAAGTTCTTTATTATTTAAGTATGACGGGTCTTATTATTTCCTTTTGGGAGTAGCCCAATTTATTGGTTTTATAATTGAGCCCTCTCAGCTAAATTGCCTAGAGATTTGATTAATTATTTTTTTGAGCAGATAATAGTTGTTTGTTAGTTTGATGTCAAACTATGGCTTTCAGTTGTTCACTAGCAGTTAGTTTACTAGTTTTACACTTACTAGCCAGTCATTATCGTTTTGTGACTTTAGTGTTTTTGCTACAGTAATTCTTTTCTTTTTTCTTGGTTGTTTTTTATTAATTCCATGCAAAATCATTTTTCTTTAGATATATTTACTTCAGATTTTTTATATATTTATATTTTAACAAAACGCATTCTCTTCTCATTGTAGTATTCAAACATACCCCTACCGACCTGCTGAGTTCTCCCATTTTGGAGCCATATACACTACATACTCCTCCATGTTTAGTTAGTCATTATCTTTTTGTGACTTTAGTGTTTTTCGCTACAATAATTCTTTTCTTTTTTCTTGACAGTTTTTATCAATTCCATTTTAAAACATTTTTCTTTAGATATATTTACTTCATATTTTTTATATATTTATATTTTAACAAAGCGCATTCTCTTCTCATTGTAGTATTCAGACATACCCCTACCGACCTGCTGAGTTCTCCCATTTTAGAGCCATATCCACTACATACTCCTCCATGTTTCCCTTGTACTATTTTCTTACCAAATCTTGGCACCATTTAGAGCCCAGTGCCAGTATTGACATGTATAATTTATTATATTTCATTTCTTCCTTCAATACGTTTATGTTTCAGATGTCATTCACGTGGATGTAGAGCCTGAATTTTCTCTGGGTATCTTGGGTGTGCAGAGTCATTCTGCTATTGAATATACATTTTATGACACTAAAGGTAAATATTTGGGATATTTACTACCTATTAATCTATTTAATTATTTTTTTTTTACTTTTTTTGCATGTATGCATAGGTAAACAATCGTAATCTGCTCAGTTAGTGCATAGTGACTCTATATAGATTTTATTTGAAGATGATATTGATGACATTTTTATATAGTTGGTTGTTTCACCTTCTCCCTTCTCAAATTTGTGTTGGTTTATTATAGGTTATTTATTACCATGTATTGCTTCTCATTTAGATGATCACAGCTTGATAAATTTGTCAAATGAAACAATTCCTTCATGTATTTTTATATTTCTTTTTGTAGTTTTGCATTTATTTTCTTCTTCCTACCTTTTAATATAGCTCTAATATGTTTTACATTCAGGTTGAGTGCTAACATGTTTTGCATCTAGAGTAACTTCTCGAGCTCATAGATATTTTGGTTGATAGCTGTTGAGTAGAACTCATCACATTATTACTACACTGTGATATCTACTACTAATAGTAAACCTTGACGATTTGTCAATTCTAGATATGGCTAGCTTCTATATATATGCTTCTTTACTTTTAAATTGTGTTTCAACTTTTGGACTCTAGGATGTTGCTTTTGAGACATGGGATTACCATTGCTAAGTGGTTTCTTTTGGACTAAACCGACTACACTTTGTCTCTCAGGAGTTAGAATTAAAAATTCCTGATAGCTTATAAGATGGGATAAGAAATGCTTAGGGAAGGATGAGGAGAGCTCATAAGGATGTTGACTTAGGCCTTAAAAGTTTTAGGCGCTACTAGTGAGATATTTTAGAGGATCATCTTGAGATTTTGGAGATATTAGCAGAGCTCAAGGCTTTAAGATAGTGGAAGAGGGATCTTATAGAGAGATGATGAGAGCATTAAGCAACGGCTAGTTATATTGATGAGGATTTTGCATGGATAGCTACTGAGGTTAAGATATTATAGTAGGATTTATTATTATCCATCAAGGAGTTTGATTTGTTACATCATCAGTTGGAGACCACTCAGGCCAAGAAGATAATGATGAAGGATCACTTGCTCAAAGTTATATTTTATTTAATTTTCTCCATTCTTTTATTTTATTGAATTGGTCTATTTTTATACTTTGTCTTTTATATTTGATTGAAAGTTGCCCGACTCTTAAGTTTTGTGAGAACATAGATTATTTAGAAATTAAGTCTTTTAAACTTGTTTAATATATATTTATTGTTCAATTCGTTTGTTAGATTGATGAAAATAGTTTGACCCTTAGGTTTATGAGCATGTAAAATTCATAAGGTCTGGCCCACAAGAATGGTGAACCTGCATTTCATTTCCACCATTTAGGTTGATGAAAATAGCTTGACTCTTAAATGTGTTAGCTTAAAACATTTCCCTTATTGAACTAATGGATCTTAGCTCGACCCTTATGTTTGTGAACATGAAAGATTTTTAGAGGTTCGTTCCTTAGACTTGTTGAACCTATATTTTATTCCAACCATTTAGTTTGATGAAAACAGCACAACCCTAAGTTTATGAGCATGAAATATTTTTAGAGGTTCGGTCCTTAGACTTGTTAAATCTATGGATTTTAATTTGACCTTTAGGTTTATGAGTATAAAGGATTTATAAAGGTTTGGCCCTTAGGCATGTTGAACCTATACTTTATTTCAACCATTTAGGTTGTTAAAAATAGCTCAAACCTTAGGTTTGTGAGCATAAAATATTTTAAAGATTTGACCCTCGGGCCTATTAAACCAATGGATATTTGCTCGACCCTTAAGTTTGTGAGCATGAAAATTCTTTAAGTATTTTTTTTTCAACCATGGAGGTTGATAAAAACAACTTGACCCTTAGATTTATGAGCATAAAAAGATTTTAAAGTTTTTACCATTATATTTATTGAATTAATGGATCTTAGCTTGACTCTTATGTATGTGAGCATGAAAGATTTTTTGAGTTTTGATCCTTAGACTTATTGAACCTGTATTTTATTTTAACTATTTAGGTTGATAAAAATAGCTCAACTCATAGGTTTGTGAGAATAAAAGATTTTAAAGGTTCATACATCAGACTTATTGAACCAATGGATCTTAGGTTGATCTTTAAGTTTGTGAGCATGAAAGATTTTCGGATGTTTGATCCTTAGACTTGTTGAACCTATATTTCATTTGAACCATTTAGATTGATAAAAATAGCTCAACCCTTATGTTTGTGAGCATAAAAGATTTTAAAGGTTTAACCCTTAGGCTTATTGAACCAATGAATTGTAGCTTGACTCCTAGGTTTGTGAGCATGAAAGATTTTAGAGGTTCAGTCCATAGACCTGTTGAACTTGTATTTTGTTTCAACCATTTAGGTTAACAAAAATTACTCGACCCTTAGATTCACAAGCATAAAAGATTTTAAAGGTTTAGCCCTTAGGATTAATGAACCAATGGATCTTCGCCCGACCCTTAGGTTCGTACAAGTATAAATGACTGAACTTCTAATCCCTTTATGTGCTCACAAAACCTAAGGGTCAAGCTAAGATCCATTGGTTCAATAAGCCTAAGTATCAATCCTTTAAAATTATTTATGATTGCAAACCTCAAGGTCGAGCTCTTTTAACTAACTTAACTGGCTAAATGAAATATAGGTTCAACATATCTAAGGTTCAAACCTTTCTAAATCTTTTATGCTCATAAACCTAAGGGTTGAGCTAAAATCAAAAGGTTCAACAAGTCTAATAACTGAAACCTATAAAAACATTTCATGCTCACAAATCTAAGGGTCAAGCAATTTTCATTATCCTAAATGATTAAAAGGAAATATTGTTTCAAGAAGTCTACATATCAAAACTTTAAAAATCTTTCATTCTCACAAACCTAAGGGTTGAGCTAAGATCTATTGGTGCAATAGGCCTTAGTGTCGAACCTTTAAAATCTCTTATGCTCATATACCTAAGAGTCGAGCTCTTTCCATCAACTTAATTGGTTGAAAAGAAATACAGGTTCACCAAGCCTAAGGGCCAATCCTTACAAATTTTGCATGCCATAAACTAAAGGGTTAACTTATTTCATCATTCTATCTAACTAATTGAAGAATAAATATAAATTAAACAAGTCTAAATGATTGAATTTCTAAACACTCTATATGCTCACAAAAAAAAAAAAAGAGGGGAGAAAATTAAATAAAATACATGCATATATACATAGAAAAAAGAAGCTAAAAAACTGTCAAGTCTGGTATGGAGGCTGCATATCTGCTGTCTAACTTTGAGTAAGTAATCCTACAACATCATCTACCTAGTTTGAGATGTCTCTAACTGATGATGCAACAAGTCAGTCTCCTCAGTGGATGCAACAAAACCTGCTATAATCTCTTAACGCTAGTAGCTATCCATGTAAAGTCCTCAGTAAAAGCAACCACTATTCGAAGCTCTCATTTTCTCTCAAGAAGAGCCATCTCCCAATGTCTCAAAGACTTGAGCTCTGCTGATATCTCTAAAAGCTTAAGTTGCTCCTCTAAAATATCACGTTGGCATTGACTCAAAGTTTGAAGGCCAAAGTCAAGATCCATGTGATTTCTCTCTATCTTGTCCTAAGCAGCTCTTACCCCATCCCCATCCTTGAAGCCATTAGGAATTCCAAATGTTAACTCATAACATACAAAGTGTAGTTGATATAATCTAAAAGAAATAACTCAGCAAAGGTACTGTCATGTCTCTAAAGCAGCATTTCGTAGTCTAGAAGCTGTAGCACAATCTAAAAGTAGAGAAGTCTCTACATTGAAGCTAGCCAAATATGGAAACGACAAATCATTAAAGTCAATTCCTAGTAGTAGATGCCACAGTGTAGTGAAAATTTGATAAATATTCCATAAATTTACTTTCAACATCATCAAATGTATATTTAATAGCCAGATGACTTTCCACACCTAATATACTTAATGAAAATTCAGGCTTTAGATCCATGGGCTTGACATTTGAAATTTAACCATATTGAAGGATTAAATGAACAAATGAAATATTAAAAAATATTACATGTCAATACTTGGTACTCACATAAAGTGGCGTTGTGGTTTGGTAAGAAAATAGGAAAAGGGAAACTTAAAGGGGTATGTCTGAATACTACAATGAGAAGAGAACATGCACTGTGAAAGTATAAATATAAGAAAATTTTGAAATAAATATACAAAAATAAAGATGATTTAACTCGAAATTGAAAAGAAACTGCCAAGAAGACAAAAAAGAGTTACTATAGCAAACACACTAGTATCACACAATGATAATCGCTAGCTAAAAAGTGAAAAACTAGTAGACAAAGTACTAGTGAACAAATGAAAATGAAAGTCTGGTATCAAGCTAACAAAAAACCGCTTTTTACTCATATAAACAAATAATCAAATCTCTGGGTAGTTTAGCTTAGAGGGCTAAATAATAAGACCCGCCAAATGTGTTACTTCCCAAAGAAAGTAATAAGACCCTTCAGAACTAATAGGTAACTTCAAATAGGAGTTGTGAGACCTATTATTTGGGATACTACTTAATCAAATATCAAACTCTCAAGCAACCAAACTCAAATTAACGGGCATCTTAATCTAAATGATTAGGTTGTAAGACCCACTTTTCGGAAACTTCCAAAGGAAAGCTATAATACCTACCTAAATAATTAAATCCCAGGACAGTCGTTGTAGTGCTTTGTTGTAAGGCCCATCTTTGAGCAACTCATAAATAGAGTCATAAGTTTCACTCCAAATTAAACTTTTAGGAATCTTCTAAAAGAAATTATAAGACATATTACTTGAGTGAAATAACTCTCAAATTAAATTTGAACATTTGGGCATGTTTACTGTAGAGCCAGGTTGTAAGACCCTCCAATTCGTAATTTATTTTTATGGAATAATAATATTTTTAAATTCATGCAATCATTTTACATATTTAATTACAAGCAATAAAGGTGGAATTAGAAATTGAAATCAGATTTAAGCAGAATGCATTGTTATAAAAAATTTTTATTTAAAGAAAAAATAAAATACATTCAAAAATTGCTTTCTTATATGATAAAATAGTAACTTTGTACTTAATTTTTTGCAAACTAAAGTAAAGACTTTTATAATGGTGAATTAAACAAAAATTTGTTGTTTGCTTGTGAATAGGACAACATATGGTTTTTAATAATTGATTTCATTATTAATTGAAATAGAAGGATGGAAAAGCTTGCTTGTAAATAAGATAACATAAATTATTTAAATATTTATTTCATTGTGAATTGAAATAGAAAGATAGATAGACATAAGTCAGAAGCAGGTGTTAAAGTCATAAAAAAAGCACACATTCAAATTGATCTATGTCATTTATATAAGATCAAGTAGGTTGTAGAAAGATTTATGCTTGCGTGAATATGAGAGGTAGACGTAAGGATCAAAGGCTGAAGTGAGAGGAATTTTAGGCGCAAGGCTTCGTCTAGGATTTGGATTTAGCAAACAGTGAACGCGCTGGCTAGGGAGCAAAAGTCTGGCTTTTTGCGATAAGGTCATGAGGGTCTATTATGGTATAAATATCAAAAGCAAGCAGGATGAGGCGTTCACGTGTGGATTGTCAGCACCTAGAATAAGTAGTGGTAAGTTATTATGAGTTCTTTACCTAGTTTAAAGTATCATACAGAAAGGGATCTCTGATTTTTTTTTGGGTAAATTTGGGGCGTAGCCCATCTATTAATCAAAAAGAGTTACAGGTAAAGTAAGAGATATACAAGTAAATCTATACCCACCCTACCCAAAACTAACTATGTGAAAATAAAAGGCAGTGAAGAGCAACAGAAAAGGAAAACAAATATAAAGACTTGGACTCAGATTACAGGACTGCAACTAGATTATCACATAAACAAAATGATAATCTAACAGGATAGAAGCTGGTTGCCACTGCAGTAGCAGGACCATCACAGCTTCACGATGCACTCGAAAATTGCCCAGAATGCCTTGGTTGCCAAATAGACTGTCCAGGGCTGTTGCCGTCCATAGCTCATCATCGTCCACCAAAATTTGGAGCCCAGCATAACCAGCCAAATACCATAGCACCTGGCCAAAGACAAGAAACCAGAAAAACCAATGCAGAAGTACAGAATACTCATTAGAGTAAGTTCCTGAGGGAGGCGGCATTCTTCCAGTTTGTGATTTTCCCCAAAACAGACTTTTTGATCATGTATGAAGTGGCAAAACTACTGGAACAGAGGTTACCATACCTCCTGGAGTTCCTTTCTTTCCAGATAAAGTAGACACAGCAGCAAGTGATGAGGGAGTAAAGCTTTTTAACCGGCTTGGAAAGGCAAGTATCCTCATTTATCCATACAAGAAGTTGCAAGATGGAGGGTCTAAGGAAGAGTTGCCTCGCTTTAGGAATTACCTCCAATATGATATCAAATGAATAAGAGCATTCAAAGAATAAATGGGAGGTGGATTCAGGGAAGACGTGGCATAGACTACAAGTGGGAGACACCATGATATTCCTTTTTAATAATTCATATGCTGTTTTCATTCCACCAACCAAGGCCAACCAAGTGAAACATGAATACCTTAAAGCATGCTTTGGGTGCCAAACTAGATTATACCAGTTACAAGTAGGGAGGTAAGCATAATACTCAAAATGATAATCAGAAAATTTGCTATTTACTTTATTCTCCCATAATATGCATTGGTTGGAATCCAGGATAATAGGAATATCCTGGATTGCCTCACGGACAGGGTCAGGAATAATGACAGGAAGGGCCCAGCTATTGTTCTTGATACAATCCCTGATGAAATAGTTGCTTGGCATTGCTTGCATCACATAGCACCCGTTTGAGAAGTCATCCAGCTTCCCATTGAAACACCAGTGGTCCCAGTGTATAGAAATTGGAGCGGTAACAGTAATGCGAAAATTAAATTTAGGCTTAGCCTGAGTGGCAATTGCACATACCGATCTCCAAAATTTGGTGGCAGCAGCAGGGGGCGGGCACTAGGGGTGCAAACGAGTCAAGCCGACTCGTGAGCTGACTCGAGCTCGACTCATTAACGAGCTCGCGAGTCGAGCTTATCGAGTATCGAGCTCGAGCTCGAGCAGAATTTCGAGCTCGGTGTATTATCGAGCTCGAGTTCGAGTAAGGTACTGTTCGGCTCGAGCGCTCGTCGAGCCGGCTCGATTAAAGAGTTGAAATTTGCGAATTCAGCGGGCGCCGGTCGATTTGCGAATTAGCTTGAGCGGGATTTTTAGACCGGCGAAAAATTAAACCGGACTCCGTAGCTTAAGCAAATACCTAATGAAACCGGTTTGCTACTACTGCTTGGTTCGCGAGACGTATAGCGGCTGCGGCGTTCTTCCCGTTCGGGAGCTAGGGCATCGCTTCTTGCCTTCTTTCTTCCCGTGCTCGAGCTTCCAGCCCCTCTGATTAGGTCTGTAATTACTTTAGGAGTCCTATCAATTGATCATTTGGTCTTCAATCTTCATTTTTTTTTCTTGGCTTTGTTCTTCCGGTGCTCTTCATTTTTTTTTTGCTGAACATCTTCTTGTGGTCGAGCAGCAGAACTGTTGGCGAGTTGTGGACGGCATTTAGAGGCATTCTTTTTGTGCACGAGCATCGAATAGGTATAATTTTTTTCCTTTGGCTGTTCCAATTTGCACGCTGATTTGTGTTCTGCTGTAAGTTTTTTTTTCCTTTGGCTGCTCCGATTCCTGTTAGTGTTGTAACTGTTGTTGACGTTTTTTGTTTTTCTTGTATTGAACTTTGAGGGTTGCTAAAGTTTATTGGTGGTTGAGCCTTAAAAAATTTGATATACTTAAGACTTTCGCTTATAAATCAATCAATGTCTGATTTATGTTATCTTGTTTTCATTCATAATTTGTAATGCATTTTTTGCGTGGTATTTATTTTTGTAATGATTTAGAAATCTGCTCTTTGATCGTGCATTTTTTTTCCTAACTGAAAAAAAGCAAAAAATTCATTAAATCATTTTGAAGTTCTTCCATAGGCCACAAACAGGAATCAATTTTGTTATAAATTATTGAAGGTTACATCATTTTTAATTGCAGGCTTTTGCTATTGTTGATTCTTAGAAAGGTTTCTAATTAGTTATTATCAATTGCAGTTTGCAGTAGACGAAGATGAAGAAGACAGGGGAAACTTGTAATTTGATCGCACTATAATGACTATATTGTTTTAAGAGTTGTTTGAGGCATATTACTTATGATTATGCTATGGGAAACTTGTAATTTGTTCGCACTATATTGTTTAGAGAGCTGTTTGAGGCATAGTACTTATGAGATCCATGAATGGTGGCTAAACTCTTGGATCATGCTAATTTTTGTGGATTGATAACTTTATGTTATTATTTTTATTAATATGAGATTCTTGTGGTTTGCTATTGTGAAGAGAATGTAAAATTTTTAATTGCTTTATATTTGATATTATTTAAATGGCATCACTTTTTAAAAGTAATTTATACTACACTTTTTTAATGGGTAAAAATTGAACAATTTATTAAAAATATTATTTTTTCAATAAAAAAATTCTTTAAAAAATCTCAATTCGAGCTTGTAATCGAGCTTTTGCTCGAGTCGAGCTCGAGCTCACTAATCGAGCTCGAGCTAACGAGCTCAAAACGAGCTCGGGTTTCGGACACACGAGTCGAGCTCGAGCTCGAGTTCTTGACTCGAGTCGAGCTTGAGCTCGAGTTCGAGCCGCCTGCATATTTAACGAGCTAGGCTCGAACAGCCTTCGGCTCGAGCTCGACTCGACTCGTTTGCACAAGGAGATAAATACTTAGAGCTTAACCAGTTGGAAAGAGGATAATTTAAATTATACATTCTCATGATAACAGTGCAGTTAAAGGCAAATTGGATTCCCCTAAGGGACGGGATCCCCAGCCCTCCAAATTGCTTGGGCTTACAAACTTTGTCCCAAGAAACCATGTGCATCCTCTTGCTAACACCCGGGTCCCCAAAGAAAAGAAACTTAGAACATACTTTCTTTAAAAAATTATAAACTGCCTTAGGTAATATTGCACCTCTTATCCAATAGGCAATGGAGTTTAAAATGGTGAATTTCAAGAACTGTGTACGGCCAGCAAAAGAGAGGAGATTTGCTTTCCAACCAGAAAGTTTTTTGGTGATATTATCCATAAGAGGCATGAAATCAGCCAACTTGAGCCTGTTGAATGACAAGGGAATCCCCAAGTAGGTAATCTTAAGACTAGTGTTATGTATAGATAATGCTTGAGTGAGGTCAAGTTGGTTAGATACATGCCTGGGAAACATAACATAACTTTTGTCTAGATTCACATGTAGCCCGAAAGAATTTCCAAAATCCGATAGGATTTTAGAAAGAATGTTACAGTTGTCTACAGTGGCTTCCCCAAAGATAAGCACGTCATCAGCGTATAATAGATGGGATAAAGAAAAACCATCCAACTGAATACCTTTAAAGCCTCCCTCATCCAGCAAGGATGAAAATGCATCCATCACCAGACAAAACAGAAAAGGGCTCAAGGGGCACCCTTATCTTAGACCAGCAGTAGATGAAAAGTATCCTTCAAGAGCGCCGTTAATAACAACAGAGAAATTGACATAAAAAATGCACGATTTTATCCAGCTAACAAAAACCTGAGGAAAACCCTTTTGCAACATCCTGGCAACCAAAAATTCTCTAGATACAGTATCAAATGCTTTTCGAATGTCAAGTTTAGCACAAAAATACTTTGTGCAACCCCTTTTCTTAGCTAGAGAAAGAACCTCATTGGCAAGAAGAATATTATCAGTAGAGACCCGCGATTTAACAAATCCAGATTGATTTTGTTTGACAATGAGAGTCATAAGGGGTTTGAGCCTATTTGTAATGACTTTGGCAATGATTTTATATAAAGTATTACAGAGAGCTATAGGTCTGAAATCTGAGATATTTTCCGCATTATTGTGCTTAGGAATTAAGGCAAGAGCAGTTGCCTTAACTCCAGATGGGAGATAACCTTTGGAGAAGAAAGATTTAACCGCCTTACAAACCATTGGGCCTACTATATGCCAACAAGCTTTATAGAAATGCGAATTGAAGCCATCCGGGCCAGGAGTTGAGTTGGACTTTCCTTGAAAACAGCCATCCTGATCTCAGAGTCAGAAACAGATTTTAGAAGATCATCATGGAATGATATAGGAACCAAGGAGCCTACAGGGAAAGAGGCAATGTTCAGAGAGCTAGGAGGAGTAGGATTGAACAGAGCTTGGAAATGATGGATGATGCCTTTAATGATTTCCTCTTTCTCAATGTTGGGATTAGAAGCCAACAGATTAACCGCAGTTCTAGATGTGCATTGCCTAACCGCAGTTCTAAATGTGCATTGCCTACTCCTGATTTTTGCATACAGGAATTTGAGGTCTTCCTCACCCTGCCTAAGCCAGTTACTTTTAGCTCGCTGTATAACCCAAGAGGCCATAATTTTGGAATATCGAGAGACCTGATAATTAACTTCTTTGAGTTGAGAAGATAAAAGAATGTCAGATGGGTTCTCTTGGGAAGATTCCGGGATGGTCTTTTAATGTTTGAGAAGCTCATTAAGATAGTAGTTGGTTTTGGTTGCCCTTGCCCAAGGTTCCTGCTTAATGCCAAGTTTAATTTGCTTAAGAGTGTAACATAGGAAGGACAGAGGATTACCGGAAATAGGCTTGGAGAAAGCCCCCAGGAGGTTGAACCAGAATTTATCAAATTGAGTCCAGTAATTTTTTAAGAGAAACTGATGATGGGAGTTAAGCACAATCCCATCCTGTAAAATAAGTGGATAATGATCTGAACAGGAAGGGCCTTGAATGGAGCAAAAAGACCTCAGGAAGGTATTCATCCAAGCAGTATTAACCATAGCCCTATCTAGCTTTATGTGAATAGGGAGATCATATCGTTGATTGAACCAAGTGTAAAAAGAGCCTACAGTTGAGAGATCATTAAGACAGTTATCAAATATCATGTTATTCAAATCCAAAAGAGACCCAAGGCTGAGAGGGGCTCCTCCAATCTTTTCAAAGTCGTATCTGCTGCAGTTAAAATCCCCCATTAGAATCCAAGGGATGTTAGAGGGAGGAGCAATGCTTGAGATGTTGTTCCAAAGGTCCTTCCTTTCATTGGTGCAGTTGGAGGCATAAACTACAGAGAGGTGTAGAAGATTAATAGATCCAACCGATATGTATCCCGAAATGAGCTGGGGAAAGATGTGCTGAGGAGTAAACTGAACCTTACAGGAATCCCATTTAATCCATATACGCCCCGAAGGAGTAAGGTTAAAATTGTGGCAGCTGTGTTCGTTTGAGAAGATCTGATGAGCCTTATCAAAGAAAGGATTTTGCAGAGAAGGTTGATGTATACGAGTTTCCAAGATACATAACAGGTCTAGCTTGAAAGAGGTTACTAGATTATTACAACAAAAGACTTTGTCTGGACGATTGAATCCTCGTACATTCCACGACGCAATCCTGGGCAGGGACATCAGGAAATATGAAGAGATGAGGAATTTTTGTTCTGCTTACCTCTAGCAGATTTTTTTGTTCTAGTCGCAGGAGGTGGGAGATATTTATTCTTATTCAATTTGCTTTTACTATCCTGCTTGACTTTGGGGTCTGGAGGTTTCTCAACCTCCTCTTGAGATTTTAAGATATCAAATCTATTGGGTGAGATAATACCATCAAGCGAGCCAGCTCCAGAAACAAAAAGTTTGTCTGATGAGCTTGAGACTGAAACATAAACCTCCTTCATAGGAGAATTAAGGTTAGGAATGTTGGTTTGTGGAGAATCAATACCAAGTGAATGGGCTTTCTCAGTGACAGATGATACAGCAGGGGTCGAAGTTTGGATTGGGATAGAGGTGAGAATCCGAGGAGGCAGAGAGTGTGGCTGATAGTGGAGAGGCTTGCCAATGCTATTGGTAAGCAGAGCAGTGGTAGTAGTGGATGAGGAGGGAGGATTCTTGGAAGACTGAGGGTCATGGAGAGGCTCAGTGGGGGGATTGTGAATACCTGGATTAGAAGAAGGCTTGCGATCCTTGAAACGACTCCGGCTGTGTCCCCTCGGCGCAAGAGTTCCCAGGTTAGGAGGGTCTGTAGACGGAGGCTTCGATGGGCAGTAAATTGAAGTATGAACCAGAGACTCACAAAAGTCGCAAGGAGAAGGCCTCCATTCGTATTGGACCTTAAGATTGACGACATCCCCGTCCAAAGACACCAATATTTCTTCCGGATAAAGAGAATTACAGTCTACCAAAACACATATTCTAGCATATGTGAGACGAGTTTTCATGGTAGTGAGAGAGTCAGCCGCTATGGGGATCCCGACTTTGCTCGCTATGGAGTTCCAGCAAGCTAATGGTAAGTCATGGATTTTAATCCAAATAGGGACAGAGGTGAAATTTTCTCTCTTTGGTTTGAATTTGGAGTGCCACTTTTGGAGGATAAACGGTTTCCTTAAGAGAAACCACACCCCCCTTGTCCAGACTGTTTCCAAGTCTTCAGCGCAAGCAAAGCGAAAAAGGAAAAAACCTTCGCTTAAAGAAAACATTTTCAGCACACCTTTGAGATTCCACGTTTTGTTAACAGCCGCGAGCAGAGCTTCATAAAATGGTCTCTGACCAATGGAGTAACCGACTAAGCATAGGTTCAAGTCTCCAGCACCAAGGGACAGTTTGTCACCCGAGAATGGAATGATATATGGTTCATTAGAATGATGAGAGAAATGGAAAGCAGGAGAGTCAGACTCCCCGGCAGCAAAGGCAGATTTCCAGTTTCGAGCCGGAGGAGAGGGAACTCCCCCAACTGCAACTAAAGGAGGAAAATCTGCGATAGGGAAGTGGTCCATGAGGACAAAACAAGGAAGGAGGAAAAAGCCTCCGACAGAGCCGGAGACGGAGAAGAGGTAGGAGGCGGCACAAAATCGCTATGGAGAAAAAACCCTAGCGCAAAAAGGGATCTCTGATTAATTGGTCCTTTGATGGAGTTGAGGCGAATGAGATTTAAGCTAGCATCTTGGGTACATTTGAAAGCTGCTTGTGGACAAGGGCACGACGTGATGGAGATAAAGGGCGTAAGTTTTATTTATTTATTTATTTATACTTTTTCCCCTTCTTGTCAATTTGATTGTCGAAGGTAGTTATTATGTTGAATAGATATATTCATTGATGATCCATTGATGGTAGGGGAAATACCATCAATGGGACTGGTTTGGAGGTTATATCATGAAGAGATGTATCTGCTCAATTCAAAAGTTTTTGTTATTTCTCCACTTCTCTTCTTATTTTTTTTTTGTTAGCATGTTGCTTGAAATAAACATAATAAATCTTGTATTCATCTTTCTTGGCTTGAATTTTCTTTCTCAACCCTCTTATTTATTAAACTAGGTGCAG